AAACCCTGAATGCAAGTGTAACAGCAGGTCGGGTTCAAAATTATTCGGGAATTAGAAAAGTTTTTTAAAACCGAATTATACTCTTCTTTTGAGTATGAAATTGGAAGAAAACGTGATTTTCTACCGAATAGGTAAAAGAATGAATATTTTTATTCATCTTTTCCATGAAATATAATTGAATTTTCAAGGGCATCAAAAATCAATGAGAAAAATTGCATGCTACTTAAGTGGTCATTTTTTGCAGAGTATAGATCTTCCATGCAGCCGAAAATAAGTTCTTTCGAAAGCCGACACCCTGAGGTAACTAGATCATTATAGATTTATGCTGCACCATGATTAGTTTTACATTACTACTTAATTTATCTTTTCGAAACGAGAACGCATTTCGAAATTTTGGTTGGCATTTCATGAGTTAGCACATCTACTGTAATATTCAAAAATACCATACCAGCAGCACAGGTATTCGCTGAAAGCCCAGACACGCGTCTTTCGCCAATATTCTGCCGCTAAATGGCACAGCTGCGAAGTGTCCGGCTCATCAGTAGGTCCCCGGCATTCTCCGTCGGCTTTCTGGTAGTTTCTCCAGTTTTGCCAATTTTTGGTTTTTTCTCAAAAGTTAACTACGAACCCCCGATCGCAACCTACAGGAGAGTGGGTCTCCTGACTCACTGACTCAGCTGCTGTTTGGGGCCCAGTATCTTCTAATGAAATCAGTCATACCTTTGATGCAAGTAGGCGGTCCGCAGTAAAATGACTGCACGGATGCCCCCTGGGTGGGGTCTAATTGATGGATTTGTAGACCGTCAAACCGCCTTTCCATCAATCCGTTCCCGCTGATCTTTGCATTATTTCTGCGCAACGAAATACTTCGAGACCGATCTGTTTGTCTTCGCAGAGCAAACCCTGCACCCGCATTCTTTCACTACAGGCCAGCGTTTGACGCACGACTTTAGCTTGAGGCCCTAGGCTTATCGAACAAGGCGAGCCAATCAGCGAACAGTGCGAACGCCCAATAGGAAGCGTCGCAGGGGTGAAGAGCCGCGACTCTGATCAGTTGTTAGCGTAACGCACCTAACCGAGAGGAGGACTAATAACGATACGCACAGTCCCTTCTGATCCCCGGTGAGAAGGAAGGACGGGCTTCTAAGAGGAGTTTGGGGATTATTTATGTCGACAAAAGACGGGATTCGGAGTTCGGGCTTAGTCGGGAACACTGGGATGTCCTATGGCGGGGACAGGACTGTTCGGATGCAAGCCTTGTTGGGTCCGGGCGGTAGAGACGATGCAGGAGCGGCGGTGGCGTCCAGAAGGCGTCCTCTGGTCCGAACGTGATCAAAGTCAGTCCTCCTCGGTTTTTATAGGGCCTCCAGACGATTTGGATGGGCTTACATAAACATGGACCAATGGGTATGCGTAAATCAATTGCAAGAGCACAAGAAAGTAGTCAATCGGGAATGGGCGCACACTGATCTATTGGCTTCACGAAGCAAACAAGCTCCGTATGGGTGGCAAAGGTGCGTCTGTGCGCATGTTTGTGTTCCTCGTCCCAGCTGCTAGTGGTCAGGGTTATGACTGGCTGAATGAAGGCACAACAAGCCCAAAACGGTACTGTATCAATCTACCCGCATTCTCTGTCGTCCCTCCTTGCTACAAGAAGGTAGATCGTAGCCAATAGGATCCTCGAAACCGTTTTAATTGACATTCTGGCTTTAGACTGGTCTCTACAGGATCGCTGATAGGCAAACCGAAATACGCAATGGTTAGTCGAAAACTTTTGACTTATGCCGGTGAGATCCAACGAGATCGACAGTTCAAAGTGTCGTGGGCCAATGGAATTGGAGAATTTAAAATGGCACACTTTCGTGTGCCATCCAATGGGTAAGCCGAGTTTTGTACTAGCCATTTGTTAGCCATCCTAGCCTAACTAGCGAAAATTAGGAAACTTGCTCCATCTTTACACTACTTCCAGCTTTTTTATGGTATTTTTCGTTAAGATTACGTCATTTCTACTTGCTTTTCGCGGCACTCCCAGCGGATTAGTTTTTTGTCAAGCCGCTCACTACCTAACCCTGCAAAACTACGGCGACTTAAATTTTGTCGATTGCCTATTTACATTGCATTAAGCTAGGCATTGTCATTAAGAAAGAGACTGAAGCAAATGGATAGCTGGACCCCTCTCCTTGAGTCGTTTCTTTCCGGGGGGGGGACTGTCTACTCGGCATGACCTCCTGGGAAGCGATCAAGCAGTTTATTTCTCTCCTTTTGAATTTGAATTTGCCACTGAAAAAATATTGTATGTTGTAAAAAACCAAAAATTCCCGTAATGTTGGATTCAGACCACAGCACACCCGAAACCTCCTCTCGACACTGATCGGGCACGCGGAACCCGGTAGGACCGACTTCTATGGCCCCCTAATCAGGACATGAGAACAGAAACCGCGCCTGCAATGCGAGTGGCCTTTAGCCAACCTCCAATAAAATCACAATTAGGTTTAAGGCTAGATTTAAAGTAAGCTCAGGTCAGGATCACGTTTAGGGTTAAAGTCGGAGCTAGTGTTGACTGCAGAGTTAAGGTTTAGAGTAATATTAGGCCAAACGGCTTAGTTGTTGGGGTGAGGACACGGGAATATTTTGCCCTTTTGAGTGTTACACACAGATCCACCTTTATTACTTGGCCGGGACGTACATCTGCATACATATACCTACATATGCATGAAAAACTCCTGATTCGGACCACAGCACACCTGAAACCTCTCTCGACACTGATCGGGCATGCGGAACCCGGTAGGACCGACTTCTATGGCCCCCTAATCAGGACATGAGAACAGAAACCGCCTGCAATGCGGGTGACCTCCGGTGAAATTTGGGTTAGGTTTACGACTAGGTAAGTCAGGAAGAAGTTTAGGATTAAGGTAGGGGCTAGTGTTGACTGCAGAGTCAAGGTCTAGAGTAAGGTTAGGGTCAAGATTAGGCCAAACGGCTTTGTTTTTTACTAGAGTTGTTGTTGGGATGAGGACACGGGAGTATTCTGTCCTTTCCGCAATTATGCGCAAATCCGCCTTTATTACTTGGCCGGGACGTATCTATACCCATGTTCTGTTGAGGAGGCCACATAAGTCAGTCCTGCCCAATCTTCTAGTTAAATAACAGTACGAAGCGCTTTTCCAAGGCCTTATACGGCAATGAAGTGGTGGGTGGCTTTAAAATCATTGTTGTGTCAAAGCCATGCAGTTGCTATGACACAGGGCGTAGATGGTGATTAGCACATTGAAGGACTCTGCTATGCGCCATCTTAGTGTGCGTTATTGAAAAAGGACGAACGGTTGCTACAGCCAGAAGGACAATATTACATTGTTAGCTAACTTAAAAGGTACAGTTAGTTACCAATCTCCTGAAGTGTTGACGATTTTTCTGAGGTGCGTTCTCAATTGGAAAGGATGGCAAGATCTTATCTCGTAGCCGTACTTGTAAGGGGTTAGGGTTAGTGATTGAGGTTAGGGGTCAGGGTTAGAGTTAGGAGTGAGGATTGGGGGTTGAGGTTAGGCTGGGACTTGTCAACGGCAGGCACGGCTACGAACTGAGATCCGACCGAAGGGATATCTTAAGTGAGGTTGTAAAATTCACCACCATGAAGCATAGTCTTAAGATATTCCAGTCACGGTTTGTGCGGGGGAGTGGATGTTTATTTCCCCGTGGTGGGACGGTCGCGATATGGCCGTGGCAGTTGTCATTCTGTTTCTTTATTTTTATCTTTCTTCTCTCTCACAGACACACAGAACATGACCCTGTCCGATGCCTACGAGCGTCTCCTGATTGATGTGTTTGCAGGAACGCAAGTCAGGATCAAGTTTAGGGTTAAGGTAGGGGCTACTGTTGACCGCAGAGTTAAGGTTTAGAGTAAGGTTAGGATCAAGATTAGTCCAAATGGTTTAGTTTTATATGAGGGTTATTGTTGGGGTTAGGACACGGGAATATTTTGACCTCTCCGCAATTATGCGCAGATCCACCTTTGCTACTTGGCCGGGACGTACCTATGCCCCTGTCCTGTTTAAGGGACTAAATAAGTTAGCCCCACAATGATTTGAGTAAGTGACGCAATAGCTCCTGAAAATCCGCATTTTGTGGTTGAGCATCATGCTAATGCACCAGGACTTACAGTGTGGTGCTGAGGTTGTGAATTCCTAGAAAGTTATTAATTTGACAAATGTCTATTAAGGCATTAGGTAAGGATCGGGTGAAGGCCCCCAAACATCTGTGGCATACTATACTTATTTAAATGGGTTTTACTCCGGCACAGTCTTAAGGTATTCCAGTCACGGTTTGTGCGGGGGGAGTGAGTGTTTATTTTCCCGTGGTGGGACGGTTGCGATCTGGCCCGTGGCAGCTGTCATTCCGTTCCTCTACTTTTACCTTTCTCTCTCTCACACACACAGAACATGACCCTGCCCGATGCCTACGAACGTCTCCTGATCGATGTGTTTGCGGGAACGCAGACAAACTTTGTCCGTGTGGATGAACTGCACGAGGCCTGGCGCATATTCACGCCGGCTCTGAAGGAACTGGAGGAGAAGCGCGTGAAACCGCTGCCCTACAAATATGGCTGGTTAGTTGATCTCCCCCCTTCCCCCCCCCCCACCTCCTTTTTGTCCTCCCAAGACCTACCGAGTACATCACCAGCCTTGAGCTGGCGTTGGGGCACGGGGCGCAAGCTACTGTATCGTGTAGTGTCGCACCCCTCCGACTCCCCACCCCAGTCAACCTGAGCTGCCTAGAACTCGACCACATTGGTTCATTGCGTGCCTCAGTCGAACTGCATGCATTCTTCACCGTTGCCCTACATGGAGCAAAACGGCTTAGTGAATCCACGCTGAGTGATTCACCTCGGTTTGTTTGCTATTCTTTTCCGACTTGGAGATTACATTGTGGTCTGAGGGGGGGCGGGTTTACTATGTTAGACTTGAAAGACAAAGCTCTAAGTATTAGAAGACTGGCCTACCGTAGTCCATAGTTATATATATATATATATATATATATATATATATATATATCAGCGAGGATTCCTGATTGATATATATATGCATGTCAAGTAGGCGTTTGGCACTCACTGTTGTGGTTAGGATCTCACTCGATCCCATTCTATCTGACGACGGGTTGGTGTTATCCGCTCGAAGATTCACGAATACAACTCGATTTTTTCCGACGAGTCTTCTATCTTCATCATATTATCTCGGAATGCACGCTACTGTCATAATTAATATTCCCGATCACAACCGACAGGACAACGGGCCCGTGGCTCAATGGTAGAGCGTCAAACTCCATGACCAAAGATCCCGGGTTCAAATCTCAAGTGATCCACACTTGGGGTTGGGTATGACTGGCTGATGACGGCTAATAAGCCAGAAATGGCCATTCCGGTCTCCCTTGTCTTTGTCGGTATCATCTCATATATATATATATATATATATATATATATAACCCCCACCCGAAGTTGATGTTTTATGAGCTTGCAACTTTCCTTCGTTAGGTAGTCGTTTGAACTTCGTTGTCTGCAGTGTGCTCACCATAGTCATTTTCTTGTCCAAACTTTGACTATCCGCCAAAAAATGATGCATAGGATGGTCTACTCATCATACTTATTCGCTTGGCTTTGTGACAGTGTACACCATAGAACCGCACAGTCGATCTGACTTAGGTACTCATTCATAATTATGTATGGTTATATGGGCAGTGTCCAGTACTTAAGCGATTCAGGCTTTAGAAGGAAATGCAAAACTTTTTGTCGGATGTCATTGTTGTCGAGGTTGTTTCTTCTGGTATCGTCCTCACAGCATTTATGAACAGCTATCAACAATGATGTTGAAGTGGTGTTGTTTGTTGCTGCTTTCACGGGATGCAACGCCTTCCGGAGGGTAGGAGGGGCGGAGGATTGGCCTTTTCGCCAACGGCATTTTTACAACCGAAACAATCTAGTTGGAATTCAAAAACCTTCCATGGGATACTATGCTCTTATCCCATCAGTCCAATGTTATTGCTCGGAAGTTTCTTTTCATACTTAATATTGATAGTCATTTCTGCCGTTTTTTGGACCGCTTATATTGCCGTCTGTCGGGATAGGTAGTAACGGACCTCAATTCTGACATTTTTTGTTTGTTTTTGTCCTTTGAGTGACTCCAAGGGAAACAAGCCAGTTATTTTCTCGTAATCGATCATCCTCGGTTGTTTCCCGGCCATCACAAACGCAGGACGATGTTACATTTTGCGATCCTGCTCCGTTGAAGGTCCGAAGAAAATAGCCGTTCCCGTATGCAGTGATGCCCAACAGTAGGTGGGCTGGCTCATGAAATGTCGACCGAAATTCCGAAATGCGTTTTCGTTTCGAAAAGATTAATTAAACAGAGTTTTAAAAGCAGTCATCCTGCAGCATAATTCTATAATTATTCAGTTAATTCAGGATGCTGGCTTTCGAGGAGACTTTCTTCCGGCTGCATGCAAAAACTATACTATGTAAAAAACGACTGCCTAATTAGCATTCATTTTTCTCATTGATTTTCGATGCCCTGAAAGTCCAATTATATTTCATGGAAAACATGCATAAAAATATTCATTCTCTTTCTCATTCGGTAAAAAAATTACATCTTCTTCCAATTTTGTACTCGAAGGAAGGGTATAATTCGGTTTTCCAAAGGTTTCTAATTGTGAGATTTTTGAATACCATGAAACGGCCGTTCATAAAACGTCAGGTGTTTACATTTACCAATGTGGCTTGTAAAATTAACAATATGGCTCAAATCCACTGCTAAATTTTACGAACCCCATATGATCTCCTCTTAATACCATAGAGAAATGTTTGGATTTCCGTACGCTGATAATATACGGATCGTAGTTTGGAAACTCTGAATGCAAGTGTAAACGGCAGGTCAGGATTCAAAATTACTTGAGAATTGGAAAAGTTTTTTAAAACCGAATTGTACACTTCCTTCGAGTATAAAATTGAAGAAAACGTAATTGTCTACCGACTGAGCAAAAGAATGAATATATTTGTGCATGTTTTCCATGGAATATTATTGGACTTTCAGGGGTATCGAAAATCAATAAGAAAAATGTATGCTAATTAGTTAGTCTTTTTTTACAGAGTACAGTTTTTGCATGCAGCCGGGGAGAAGTTCTCTCGAAAGCCGACATCCCGAGGTAACTGAATAATTATAAAATTATGCTGCATGATGATTAGTTTTACAACTCCTCTTAATTAATCTTTTCGAAACGAAAACGCATTTCGGAATTTTGGTCGACATTTCATGTGTTAGCCCGCCTACTGTACTCATCAATATAAGCTTTGTTTGCTAAAAATGTACGGAAGCATGTGAATGTCTCAACAGTTCCCTAAATCGCGCCGTAGCTCATGACGTCGGTTAACTAATTGTCCACCATTTTGTCTTTTAACCGTCTCCCTTACCTTTTTTGCCCATTCTTAGTCGTAACGGTCCGGACGAAGCAGACGCACTGATGAAGCGGGTCGGATTCCTCTACAGTGGCACCTACACTTGGCCAAATGCCACAGCAAATGCGAAGGATACGGCTTGAAGCTGCTGGCAGTGTGGAATAACAGCCCAACCCCATTCCATATTACACTTATATTTTATCTTTATTCTTTGACCCTGCGCTCCGTCCGATCAGGCGCTGCACAGAAATAAGTCGCACCAGTCATTCCCAGCCGGCGACAATTACCCACACAATCTGTTTGTAAGCTTCCGCTCTCGCTCACGCTGTCTTTTTTTTATACGTGACATCCAATTTTTGTTTTCTTGGCCCAACTTCCGTTCCCCCCCCCCCGCCGTCAGCTACCCTTCTGTACTTCTGCGCCAGCTGCCTGGTGTTTTTTTTCATAATTCCTACTTACACGACCGAGTTATTGTTTGGTTGAGGGCTCTGCGTAGCCCCTCGTTTCGTGTCGGCGCCGCCGTTAGTCAAGCCCGGACAGATAGTCTCGACCCTAGCGCGTGACGTGTTGCAGTTTTGGGGCCTAGCAATAGCTGCCAACGCCAACGTGATGGCAGCGACCGGAGTTTGATGTGCATTCTCAACTTTTGGCCTACAAGCTGCTTTCAAAGACCCATCGGTAGGGCAGGTGCATAGGTACGGTAGATATGCGATCTCGTGAAATTTTAACTGAGATTCTGACATGTGTTTTCAATTCAAAAATATTGTCTAAGTAGGGTTGTCATATTACTTATCGGATAGCATAATCCCCAAATGTATCAGTCACCTCAGGATGCCGGCTTTCAAACGGACATCTTATCGGCCGCCTGCATGAACAAGATTCAGCAAACGACAGTTCGACCATCGATTTCGATGATGTCCACCGTATGCCCCACAGACTGCATTGTGGAGCAGGGACGGTGACTTACGCAGGGTTTATAGTGCCAGTAGACTTGCGTAGCATCTGCCTGCACTCTCTCCTCCTCCCCCGCCTGAGCCCAGTGTCAAGACAGAGTCAAGAAGACCGGAGACGGGGGAGGCCGCAGGTGGATGGCTCGGACGGATCCTCGCTTTGGCGCTCCACTCCGCACCCCCTGGTCCACACACGAATGACCAGGATTTTGGCCACAAAACAATGGGGTGGTGGCAGTGGTCCAGTTGCGCGACGAGTGCCAACAACGTGGTCTGCCAGCGCACCCCGCACATGTTGGCATTTGTTATTGCGCACAGATAACGCCTGCCAGAGTCCGATGTGGCCCCCGTGTTGGTCCAGCGCATCTAACACGTGCCCGTTTGGAGGGCCGAAGATTCAGTAAATAACGATTACTTGAGCAGCATAAATTTTTCGCATAGTTTTTTGGTACTCTCATCAATTCAGAAAACGTGCGCACGTGCATGTGGCATGTGACGATGGAGTACCATGTAGTTTTAAAAGGACTTTTTCAGTACGCGTATAACTTTGAACCTGACCTGTCGTTACATTTGCTCTCGGGGTTTCCGACATACAAGTTGTATGCTTTTCGTGTAAGTAAAATCTCCAATTTATACGTGCTAATAGGATCGAGTCATATAGGGCTCGTAAAATCCTCTACTGGACGTGGACTATTTTGTCCACTATATTAGCAGCTTTAATCAACGTGCCGATACGAGGCTGTGTGAATGCATATTTCGCGGATTTAAAGGACCTCATAACTAGAACCAAATAGGGCGGGAATACAGTGTCGCAACACTTAGAATTGTCTATTCCCCCACCAGCCTGTCTTACGGGCGGACTACTGCTACTACTACTTCTACTACTACTACCACTAATACTACTACCACCACTACCACTGCTACTACTACCACTACTACCGCTGTTACTACTAATACTACTACCACTGGCGGGAATACAGTGTCGCAACACTGAAGAAAAATTCTTCCCCCGTTTACCACCACTGATACGGCGAATACTACTAATAATCCTACTATTAGTATTACTACTACTACCACGGCTGCCAATGCTACTCTACCAACGCCTACAGTATGGGTAACTAACTGCAATAATACTAGCATCAATAGCGGAGTGTTGCGACACTGGTATCCAACCCCAAATAGTACTCCATATACAAATGAGAACGAGAATCAGTACTTTTGTGCATGTTTTCGGTTATTTTTTGGTTAGGGGCTCTGTGTCAGTAAACAGTCGGCGCTGCCATTAATCAAGTCCGGATAGGTAGTCTCGACCCTAGCGCATGACATGTTGCAGTTTTTGGGCCTAGACAACGCCAACGTGATGGCAGCGACCGGAGTTTGATGTGCATTCTCAAGCGTTGCGAGGGGAATAGGTACAGTGGATACAGTAGGTGGGCTAACCCATGAAATATCAACCGAAACGCGTTTTCTTTTCGAAAAGGCTGATTAAGTAGGGTTGTAAAACTACTCATCACGCAGCGTTAGTCTTTAATAATTCCGTTACCTCGGGATGCCGGCTTTCGAACGAACTTCTTTCCGGTTGCTTGCAAAAACTGGACTCTGCAAAAAATGACTACTAATGTAGCATGCATTTTTCTCAGTGATTTTCGATGCCCTCAGAAATTCAATCATATCTCGTGGCAAACATGCATGAATATTTTCATCCTCTTGCTCATTCGGTAGACAATACGTCGTCTTCCAATTTTATACTCGAAGAAAGGGTATAATTCGGTTTCCAAACACTTTTCAAATTCCCGAATAGTTTCGAACCCTGATCTGCCGTTACACTTGCATTCAGGTTTTCCAAAATACAAACCGTATATTATCCGCGTACGGAAATCCATACATTTCCCTATGGTATTAAGAGGAGATCATATGGGGTTCATAAAATTTAGCAGTGGATTTGAGCCATATTGTTAATTTTACAAGCCACATCGGTAAATACAGAGACATGAAGGTTTATGAACGGCCATTTCACGGTATTAAGAAGTCTCACAAGTAGAATCTTTCGAAAACCGAATTATACCCTTCCTTTGAGTATAAAATTAGAAGTAGACGTAATTTTTTTACCGACTGAGCAAGAGAATGAATATTTTTATGCATGTTTTCCATGAAATATGATTCAATTTTTCAGGTCATCGAAAAT